TTGGTAGCACTTCGTTCAGTTACGTATTGCTCGTAGACGCGAGAGAGCGCTGTCTTACAATTTAACAAATATTACGCGTTATTTAAAAAAAATGCGATGAGTATATGCAATTTTAGCTGATGCTAAAGAGTAATAAAACATAACGTCAGCGAAAAGCCATATTGATATCTTTTTTCGGGCAAGTTGGACGGTATAATAAACACGTCCTCTAGCGGCATTTCTACAAACTTGAAGAATAATTTCCAGCAATTTCTCATAGCCTCTTTAGTTATAAATATTTTTCCCACTTAGGCTCTACGGAAGTGCAGCTATTTTTAGTAAGATACCCTGTATGTACAAGGGTGCTTCATTTTATGACTAAACTCGACCTGAAATTTAATTTTCTACTAGGAAAACCACATATTGAAACTAAAAATACTACAGTACTATAACATCCAGCGAATCTTAGATGGTTAAAGAGTTAGCGAATCTTCTCCATCTATTTTATTCTTTTGTTGGTCCAGTCCATAGACAAACTAACAAAAGCAAGACTCGTCAACGCTGTACTGCAGAACGGTAACAAGTTTGATAAGAGTTTATTACCGCGCTTGCGTCAACTGGCCTTTAGACGAGGACGGTTTACTTATGGATTATGTATTTTGTAGTAGCCTTTTAGACAAGGATGTTTAATTAAAAAGCGTTTTTTTTTTTTTTATTCAAATAATTTATTTCCATCGGTAAAATAAACAGTAATTTCTGGACATAACAGATATAAAAACAAATGTTTTTTTTTTTTTTTTTTTTTTTTCTATTAAAATAACAAAAAGATGATAAAAACAACAGTTACTTGATAAACGAAATTAAAGCATTATTCTTCAAAGGTACAAAAAATAATTATGTATATTATAATATTAATAATAGGAACAATAAGAAACATCTTAAAAATATACAGCTTTTTCCAAATATAAAAGGAAACAAAACATAAACTTCACATTTTCACAAGAATTTGCAAGAATATTAACATTTCGAGTCTATTATAAAATATAAAGCACGAAAATTCAAATCATAAAAAAGATTAAAGATGAAAGATTCTTATAACTTACAGTCAATTTGTAGGACCTTCTTTGTCTACGTTAGCGATGTAATCCCAATAATATGTATAATCACAGTAGTTATGTTCTTCATAGAGTATAAAATGTATTAAATTATTTGTTTTTCGTTTTTGTACGCTAATAAAATAATAGTAATAAGCAAACAAAACGCAATATCAGGAATTCAACAGTTCGTTCAAGGATGGTTCAAGGCAAAAGCGTTTTTCGTTTTATTTGAGTTAGGTTGACAAGTGCGGCGCGCGATGATTTCCTACAGCTCAACTGTAACAGCAAAGAAAACAATAATTCGACTTCCTCAATCCTTTGAAAAGTCTTGCTTTTGTTAGTTTGTCTATGGTCAGTCCAGTTATACTTGATATGGTTTTTTGTTACGCAAATTTAATAAGTAGAATATGAAAATGGAAATATGATTTAACTTTCTCGTTCTGTATTATCATGTTTGTACGTTTTGCGTTAAAGCATATCGCGCACTTATGCGAAGCGCGGCGCGGCGCAGCGCTGGCGAATTTTTGATGTGTCCGCTAACTTATGCACGGTTTTGCGTACGCGGTTGGTATTTAAAGTTGTTTTGAGCTGACCGTTTTAATTTTGAGTGTTATCTCTATGACGGTTTGATAAAGGTGTGTTAAAATTTCATTATGTGCTCAAGTTCTAGCAGCAGTTCAGAGGGAGATTTTCTTATTTTATGTACAATAGCTGAGGAAGAAGAAATGCGTGAGAACAAAAAAAGAAAATCTTGGATTCATAATATAAATATAAAAGAAATGCGTACGGAGAATTCCATCACAACCCTCAGATCTTCTAGAAAGACAGAAAAGAAAATTTTTAATAAATCATAATATAACTTGATAATGGCAGCATAAGTTGTAGATTAAATTTCGTTTAGTTTGACTTTCGAAAAATCGGTTTGCCAAAAATAAGCTTTACGTCAAGCAGTTTAAGCAGAATCGTGGTTAAGAAATTACCCAACTTTTGGAACACCCTGTATGTTTTTAAAAAATTCATAATATGTAAAAAACAATTTTTTTTTAATTATGCTTGTCCAAGCGTTTTCCCGAAAAGACTAACCGTTTTTAAATAGCAATGTGCCAATATTTGAGGGGCGTTTACCTCTTGGAATTTGAGATTCTGAGCCCTGTATCGAACCTCTACACCCCACAGTCAATCGTTTGCCAAATGGCTTTAAACATGAAGCAGTTTAAGCAGAATCGTGATTACTCTATGGTCATATTTTATGAAACACCTGTATACCTT